TTTTTATAACCCAGGCAGGAATGTGGGACATGATGAGGTGACTCATAGTCTCATTATATGACTCAGCTTGGAGACAGATTTGTGGCAGTTGGGGACTTTAATGCTCATTCTCCCTTGTGGGACAGCCATGGCAGATCTAATATGACTGGTTGCTCTTTGGAGGCAGCAATTGAGACCCTTCCCATTTGCATGTTGAATGATGCCTTGTACAGCAAGTGTCAACTGAAAATGTGATAATGCAGGCTGACCACTCTAATGTGACTGCAACTACGTAATCGTAAACTTGATGTTTACATTTTTTGGTGGGAACTCATCGGCCATCGCAACTGATTTCCAGACAAGCTTCACTGCATACTGATCAATCCAACATAGGTACCGGAAACCTTACTTTTTTTAAATAGTTGGCTGAAGACTGACAAATATATTAAATGAAAGAATTTCAATCTAAATGTGTTGGCAAGATCTTCTGAAGGCATAAATTTTGCTACTGAAGCATCGCCAAAGATCTTGCAATATTCATCCACTCTCTGCACAGTGGCCATCACTAAGTGCCGTGGGGCACGGTTTGGCCGTGTTTCACAGCTACGCCATGTCTTGTTCTCTTCAACGGATTGGCTCACTTTGCTGTCCATGCTTGATGCTATTCTTCACCATGTCTTCCATAATGTCATTAATGTGGAACCATTATTTCATCAACGCTGTAGTATTCACAACATATCTCATCTTTGACTAAAAATTTAAAAGCAAAGAAAAGTCCACAAAAATTCATATCTTTATACAAACGTTTCGGAGTCCAGCCAGCTCCATCGTCAGTTCGTAGAATCTAGAACATACATAGAAAGTCACAAGTTAATACAATTGAAAGCACAGAACACAATTAGAACCTAAATTTACAAGTAATAGGGCATAAAAACCTATCTATTCACAATTTCAAGGGGGATAGGAGTCCACANATGGATTATTGTAGCATAGGTTCTGTCTCTTATACACATCTAGATGTGTATAAGAGACCCCCCCCCTAGTGTAAAAAGAAACACGCCTAATAATGCATTGACAGTGTAGAACCTTCAACCTTGGTTAGCCTAATTCCCAGTTAACAAAAAATAAATAAATTAACAATAAATAATTTTGATTACATTTACTTTGCTTAGCAAAAAATTTTGGTTAACAAAAAATTAATGCACCATCAGAATATCAGACAATGCCACATTGGTCATCACAAAATTGTGCATAGAATGTCATCAATAAAAAAGTTAATGCATCATCAGATTATCAGGCAATGCCACATTGGTCATCACAAAATTGTGCATAGATTTCAGAGAATGTCATCAATAGAATATTGCACTGGGCAACATAGAATGAGAAGTAATTAACCTAAACTATGACTTATTTCTCCAAGAAATATGTTGGTTGGCACTGAAATATTCCTTTCTGTTACAACTTACAGGTATGATTTTTACAATCTTTTTTACTATAGTGAATTCACTTCACCCAATTGAAATGCTGCAAAATTACAAGCCGTCCTGTAAGCTTACAGATATAGAAAAAATGTTGTACAGCTGCTGATAAGAAGTTTGCAGTGGACAAGGTCATTGTCAATACTCAATGGCATGTCCATGGATACAGTAATATCACATCAGTAATGCAGTAATGTATAGATAAGGTAATTTAGCATATCAATAGAGGAGAAACAAGTAAAAATCACAGAAAATGTCATTTATTCTACATCTACATCATCTCAAAGGAAAAGGACGACTTCAGAGGTAGTAATGGATGAGTACACTGCATGAGTACAAAGTTTTAAAATTAAGTTTTATTTCATGTGTCCCATATTGCTCGGTTCCAAGCAGGGTTGGCGATTTTTTTGATTTTTTAAAAAAAATCAAAAAAATCAAAAATCAATGATTTTTTTGATTTTTTCATGGTTTTTTTTATTTATTTGATTTTTTCAGCTTTTTTGTCTTTTTTGAGGTGTTATTTTTTATGTTGCAATTAGCCTACTAACAATAACAGTATATGGATAATAATGGATGGCTTAAAAGGGCACTTATTGCTTTCAATAATGGCCAACAGGCCAAGGTGGTGTTTACCATTTTGGGATTTTTGGGTAAACAATTATTGATAAGTCTATTCATTAGCTTTGTAAAGTTTGTATGGAGCATGGTAATGAGCTAAATATTGACCATTTAACAGGCTTCAATATACAAAAACACTTCTGGAATGCAGATCTCATAAACATTGAAGAGTCACATAACAGATAGGTAGATGATTGCACAGTGCACAGCACTATCAATAGATCTACTAGTTTTATGTCCTATAAATATACCAGACTCTACCCTCTATACACACTGACTAGTAGTGACTGAGTGACTGACTGCACTGTTCCCATTTAATTCAGACCAATAAACCAATACTAAACAATTAAACATAAACTGAACGATAACCAAACAAACCTCATACGACTTGAAACTAGACTTTAGTTATGAGAAAAGCTAACACTGTTTGAAATAAACATGTGCACAATTCAAATATTTTATATCCATTCACTGCATTTAATTATTTTATATATAGTCTTATAATTGTAATTGTTTTGTTTCTAGTTTCAAATTCACATATTTAAAGATTGAAATTAAATATTTTAATTAGAATACTCATATTAGGGTGAAAAATCTTTCTAATTGCCTAAAAGGTCAATACAATCTCAACCTCTCAATATACAGGGTGGAGCAGAACCGATTGAGCAGTTTTGAGGTGTAACCATGACAGTGAATTCCGATTGCTATGCTGCAATGTTGCAAAATTTCTTGCAGCCCATGATGGAAAACATTGTTGAAATGAAGCATTGAGAGACGTGTGGTTCCAGCAAGATGGGGCTACAGCTCGAATGTCACTCAATGTTTTGAAACGCATGTTTCCTGTAGGTCTGGTGTCTCTGAGGGGTGATTTACAATGGCCTGCAAGGTCACCTGATTTGAGCATTTGCGATTTCTTTCTTTGGGGACATCTAAAAGAAAGGGGTTCAGAAGTTGCCCTCACACCCTACCACAGCTAAGGGAATGGATTATTGTAGCATAGGTTATGGCCATACCTCGCCATATGTGTGAACGTGCTGTAGGAAACTTCCGAGAACAACTCCAACAGTGTGATGCAGCTAACAAACGCCATCTTCCTGATATTGTTTTCAAAACATAAGTATTTTAAATGTTATGTTATGCTAATCATAAGAAAAATAGACTTTCTTCTTTATGTACCTCCATTACTCTTTTATTTTGCCTCAAAACTGTACAATCAGTTCTGCCTCACCCTGTATAAGCTAGCTAACACATTTAAATTGTATATTGTAATCAATATATAACAAATAGTCAAATAGTTAGACTACTTATAGCCTTATAAGAATTAGCTAAGCTGCTAGCTACATACAATGTATTGCACTCTTGATGCCTCTGTACCAAAAACATTCAATTTATTGGAACCTAATACACACTAAAGGGAACAAGTTTATATACCAATTTGTTATTCATAGTACATTTATACTAAACCATGAATAACAATACCTCAATATAAATTAAAGACTGCCACTCAATATTTTTAAATCTATGAAAAAATCAAAAAAATCATGATTTTTTATAAAAAAATCAAGTGAAATAATCACATGATTTAATCATTTTGATTTAATCATTGCCAACCCTGGTTCCAAGGGGTAATTTGGTAGGCTTTTATTTTGCATCCGGCACCTTATGAATAGCATATGGAATTATTTAAGAGATGCCATAAAATAGCCCTCACAAAGACCTTTAAAATGAGCCCAAACTCCTTTATGAAGTGTTTCATGGTGAGAAGTTGTTAACAAAAAACACTCAAAACTGTCCCTTATTGCCCCATTTGACAGTTATTGTTGCTTCTAAAGAAATGGAATCACAGCTTGCAAATCCCAAGGTGCAGAGTTTGCAAGCAGCATTGCCAAGATATGGATTTCAAGCCCAAAATATGGCCAGCCATATTCAAGATGTGTTGCCAGGTAATTTTTAATAAAAAAATGCTGCTCACAACTTTTATAATATGCACCTTACTGTCCAAGCACTGCAACACTTACACTCATTGCAACTGATATCCAGACAAACTTCAATGCACCCTGATCCATCCAACATGCCGGAAACCTTACTGTGTGCTCTTGCGGCCTTTTAGATTTTCAACTGTTTTCTAAATATGTTGTATACAATCAAATAATTATTTGAAAATTCTCAACATAATACTTCTTAATGAGTAATATTTACAAGCTACTGTTATTCATACCTCATAATTGAAATAATCAATTATTTTTATTGCTTTATTGTGATTATTATACCATAAATCAGTACTTCATCATTCTAATTACTGAGAGACAAATATTCAAATATTTTGATATTCTTACAAATTCTTATGAAAAAATATACTTTTAACAACAAAGCCATGACATTGTGCTGATGTATCTGTATAATGTGTCAGCAAGATCTTCTGAAGGCATTAATTTTGCTGCTTCCAATATTTACCCACTTTCTGCACTCTGATGCAAATCCATGAAATCATGGCTCAAAAATCCAGTCATGGTTCAGATAGTATAGGTTTTCTTCACTAGTTTACCATGTATTATATATGCCTTTTCTTCATACTTGAGTATTAAGGTATTATGGCTCTTCTGCTTTGTCAAGGTGTTATGGCTGTTCTGCCTACTCAGGATATTATGCCTGTCCTTCACTTTCAAGGGATTATGGTTGTTATTAACACTTATGGTATTATGGCTGTTCTTAACACTTATGGTATTATGGCTGCTCTGCACACTCAGGTTATTATGGCTGTTCTTCACTCTTAAGGTATTATGGCTGTTCATCACATTCAACATATTATATAGGGTTGTTCAGCATGCTCCAAGTATATTGGCTGTTTGGCCTGTTCTGAACACTCTAGCAATACCTTTGTCCAAATAGCCAAATATATCAAAATAATATAGGTACTTTGTTTCTATGGTTTATTCCCTGTATAAAACTTTATTTTTCTCAGGTCAAATTAGGGTGTTTTTTAACTAACTTGAAATGTTTACAATCATCAAAAAGTTACAGCAGTTGAATTTGTCTTGTTTCTGTTCCATTGCTACTCAGTATGGCTCTATCTCAAATAATAGTTCTTTACTAATAGCCAGTAACAAATTCTGGAACCATGTATGTAATTTACATGGAAATTCACAACAAAATATTGGTCTTAACTCACAGTTTCATGATAGACATTTTACTGTGTCTGAAAGTTTTGCAAGGAAGATGTCAACTGATGCAAAGCATGTGCTTTTTGAAGAGGTCAACAGCAAAGGCATTGTCGTCCTTAACAGACCTGAAGCACTCAATGCACTTACTAAGAATATGATTGAAATTATGTATCCTGTCTTGAAAAAGTGGGAAAATGAAAAGACTTTGGTGATTGTTAAAGGTAAGTAATAGCACTCATTTTTTATTCTATTGCTTTTTATTACACTTATATTATTTTTAAAAGTGTTATTGTTTCTAGTTATTATTATTATTTAATGTTGAAAATGTTCAACTTTGCAAATATTCTATTCATTTAATGTTCATAGGAATGGAATCATAGTGATAATGAGAACCCTTATCCACATTAATATTATCATTATTGCTCCTGAAGAATTACTGAATCACTCTGAAAACCTACAACTTTGCTGTTGGAAAATATTTATCAAAGAAAACTTAAAAATATGTAAACCAATTTCATGATAGTTAACTAGTGAGGTTTAAAAAATCAGGCTTTTGTACTCCTTAAATAGACTATGCACTGGACTGGTGGCAAACACCCTTAATGTTGTTAATTTTCCAGGGCAAGGAAGCAAATCCTTCTGTGCTGGTGGTGATGTGCTCTCCTTGACTGACCCAGAGAAGAGAGGAGACCCCACCATAACTAATTTCTTCAGGAGTGAATATATGCAGAACCACTTAATTGGATCCTATCAAATTCCATATGTTGCATTTATTACAGGTAACTTAGCAGTTCTAATTAGCTGCAAGTGTGAATAGATACATGGGGAGTTCCTGTTTAATCCCTGTATGGTACAGTATTACAAATTTATATGATACCTATGTTGGATATTCTGAGCAGAATGTTATAAAACAATTACTTTGCACTATACCCAATAACGATGTAGGTTCAAATTGATAAGGATTGCTCTGAATTGTAGATCTAAATTCTCCCAGAAGCCACAAGAGTTAGAAATCCTCATCAAAATGCCAGGGCTTTCAATATGTTAAAATATTTAATCAACAAGATTAGTTTGTGGATCAGGATACGGTATTCTTATTCATGACTTTCTTTGTACGTTATGGATTGGTCTGAGTTTCATGATTTTGTGCATAATATTGTTCATTAATTATTCACAATTTAGTTGGTCTAAGGACCAACCATCTTCAGTTCCAACAATGAAATAGGTAGTTTACAAAAAATCCCATTTTAATTTTACACTTTTATTGTTTTCATCTACCCAAATCAAATTGGCTACATATGGTAGTATGTTGTCATTATAAATGTTATGATTCTAAGTATTCTCATTTTGCAGGAATAGTTATGGGTGGAGGGGCAGGTATATCAGTGAATGGTCAATTCAGAGTTGCCAGTGACAAGTCTATGTTCGCCATGCCTGAGACAGCAATCGGACTTTTTCCCGACGTTGGAGGTTCTCATTTTCTGCCAAGACTCGGAGGAGGTCTTGGCATGTTCCTAGGACTAACAGGTTTGTTCTTTGTAACTTGATTAATTAAGCATAGGTAGCTTTTGGCTGTAACATATATGAGTATTTCAGTATAAGAGGTTTATTCATAGTAACTCAATTGAGTATGGTATATACAGCTTTCTGTTGGAATATGTATTGCAGACTCATGTAGTAGGTGTGCCAGTTACTCATAAATGATTTTTGCTGCATAATTGTAATGATGCTGTTATTTATTATTTGAAAATTCTAAAGAAAACTGACACATTAGACTTTGAACCTAATTTGGAGCATCCATGAAATCTTTTTTGGTTGACAACCACTTTTTATTTGTGTCACATCTTACATTTTCCTGTGCTGAAGTATTTGGTAAGATATTTTCTTTCTGGCAAAATTTTCACTTCTGATTATTGGTACAGTTCTAAATTTTCATGCCCTAGTAACTAACATTCTCCATGTATGTATTTCATTCAATTTCAAGTGATCACATGGTCTGCAATCTTGCGTTCTGTGAAGAAATTTGCACCCCAAACGAAAAATAGCAAATTGTGTTTCAAAAAGACGAGAGTTAGAGAAATAAACTGCTCCGCCATTATCTCGGTTCTTAAATATAACACCTTTATTTATATCAGGTCACAGGCTTCGTGGTCATGAATTGGTGAGCGCTGGATTGGCCACGCATTTCTGCCCTGCAAGCAAACTAGATGAGCTTCACAGCGCTCTGCTTGCACTGCCCAGCCACACAAAGGTTCCTTGAAATCAAGCATTCTAACTTCGATGAACTGATGTGATGAATGTCAGTATGGTATTGTCTTGAGTGAGAAGATAAGTGATATATTTTTATTGTATTGATAAATGCTTCAAGGATAAGTCATGTCAGATCGCATGAATCACCATATTATTATTTTCTGAGTATTCGGCCTACTCCAATAGCTCACACATACTCACTTCCTGCATTCATTTCATCGTAGAAAGCAACTCAAAATGAAAGCAAGCAAATCCTATAATGCCCGCCTTATAGGATCAAGCCCGCATTTAGTCTAAATCAAGCATACATATTTTCCCTTTGGTTAAATAATTAAAATTGTAATAAAAATGCGCTTAAAACAAAATCACGTCATTTTGCAGCCTGAGCACGTACGGGAGCTGCTAGACACGTTCCACGAGAGCCCGTCGGACTTCTCTCTCACACCACACCTGAAGACCATCAAAGAATGCTTCACTGCTCCCACTGTCCACCAGATCTTGCAGAGACTGGCTGAGGTAACTAGTAACCAAGGTAACAATCCCAGGCTTCTTTAGGATCTTCGTGTCTTCAACATTGGATTTTTAAAGAATTACCTCGCATATAATTTCTGATCGTTTTACTTTTTGAGCGAAGTTAATGGTCTGGAATTGTTACAAATTACCCATAGTTCCCTTGGGTGCGAACTTCATTTTGAATAACCGTTGTAAAAAGTTAACGACTTGTCAGTAAAAATATTTGTTCACGGCGCAGGTCATTAGACTGTGTAACTGGATATCACAGCTGCGACAACATTAGGTGGCTATACGTGATTTCGACTAATAATCTATCACGTTGATCCGTTTATCTGTAGACAAAAATTCAAATGATGTATTGATGTTTCTTCTTGGTTTACAGAGCGGAGACGAGCTGTGTCGCCAGCAGCTACCAGTGATCAGGAGCGCCTGCCCCACGAGCGTGGCTCTCACCCACGAGCTCCTCGTTAGAGGCGCAAAACTCGACCTCGCCCAGTGCCTGCAGATGGAGTTCCGGGTTGCGTGCAGGGTGCTGGAACACACTGACTTCCAAGAAGGTATGGTAGCTTGTTCGTGCAGCATGGAAATCGTGCTTGGAGACACGTGTTAGCATGGAAATTGTGACTCTTCACTTAGAACCAATCAACTTCTAGGAAGCCGTGGGAGCTTTACTTGCTAACGATACCTTGACTTAAAGGAAATGCGTGTTATCATTTTTCATTGTGTGAAACACGGTCTTCTAGGCAGACTTTTTACTTTTTGTCAGCTCTGTAGGGTCATGAATCAGCTGATGGTCACTTAACCTCCATATCTTACTGTCGTTGTCTGCATATTCTCTTGTCAAGTGGTTGACATGTTTGGAAACCGAGTCACTCGCTCCTGCGATTTAATTTCTTATTTAAATTACAGTGAAAGTTGAGTACTCTTTAACATGGTAATTTTTTTTGTGAAATAAGAGTCGGTTGTGCTACACAAACACCACTTGTATAGAGTATTGAATTTTAAATAGAAATGAACAGCTACTTCAATTATTTATGAGAAATTGTTATATCAAGTAACCATATTAATTTTCAATGGATTGTTATAAATAGTTAATCGATAACCATGTTTGTTGAAAACTAAATTGATTTCCTAACATAATTTGTGAACAAATTTCAAAGGGTATGTATATGTTCATGTTCAGTCGTGATGGGAAATATTTGCCAAAATACCTTTCAAAAGTGATTCGTTCCTGTGATTTAATCCAGAGGATCTATTGATAACAATGCATCTTGCTCCAGGCGTGCGAGCTCGGCTTCGAGACAAGGACAACAAGCCCCAATGGAAACCTGCTACTTTGGAAGAACTCGACATACCCAAGACGGTCGAAAAATACTTCGCTCCTCTCCCTCCTGAGTTGGAGCTGAAACTTTGAGCACTTGAGGGACTAATTCATTACATCTCACGTGTAACACTGTAAGCTAACGTACAAGCGACGCATGTTTGTGCCGACCTATTGTGTAATCAGTGCTTATAGTTGTGTGAAATATTTTCGTGCTTCTCGAAGAAACCAGTCTCGGCAAGCCTTTGAGCTCCAACAACTATTAACAACTGAGAACTGTTCATTTATGCTTTGCTTCACTTGAAGGCTTGTAACAAGCAAGTTCTACTACTAAAATAACATCAAATGAAGCAGAAATCTCAATCTGCAAAAAAAGAAATGATTTATTCGAATTTTATGTTGTGGTTTAGTATTCAAAGTATTATAGATAGACTGCCAAATGTTATGCTAATGCTCTACATACTTTTCCTGCGACTTCAGTTTCTACGACCCAAGCCTTTAATTAAATTAACTCTCAGTGCAGGTAGTTTTTACTCTCGTCCTAATTATAACTACGTCTTGCATCTCTTAAGTAAATTTTGTCTTTACTTTTTGAATTAATAAATAATTCAATAGTTTGTCTTCATCGCATTTTCTTTAACTGTGAAATAACTTGAGTGTAAATTTGAATATTGAGTAAATGTCAGGTCCGTCGTTCAGGACTCCTGTACGTATTCAGGAGTCGATTATTTGTAAAAAGTACTAGTCAATTTGGTGAATTTCTAAGTGCAATTGTTTCAGAGTGTCAATGAAGTTTTTTCCTTTTGAGGGGCAATAAAGTTGTCATAAATGTGTTTATCAAAGAGCATTAGTGATCTACTATTGGTTGAAAGGAAAGTGGTTAGCAGGTTTATAAATCATAAGTTTATTTACTAGTAGTACGTCATATCAACATCAAGAGGCAAAATATCCTTCTACTTCATGTATAACTTAGCTTTAAATTATATGAGACAAGGATACCTCAGCGTCCAATGTACGGTGCTCTCTCAGTGTCATCACGCCTTAAATCCAACTTGGAATGATATTCTCACTTGAAAGTTATTATTGAAACTTGTACAAGGGAAACTTGTTTTCTTAGCTCATCGACGCGGCTATATTTTTCTGCGTTCGTAACCATAATTCGTACATACTTCAATCAAGAGCACACATTAACTGCTAAGAATTATGGTACAAAACAAATGTATCTATTGCCTAGCTATGAAAAAACTAATTCTAACATTAAGACATGAATTATTGCCAAGTCGTATATACAAACGTGAACTGCCTGTTCTTCGTTGTTGCTTAGCGTGTGTTCACGACCCGTGATGCAACGAATATAAGACTCGTCGCAAAACGAGTTCCTCATCATCGCTTAGCAGTAAAAATTACTCCATAAAAAGCATCAGGAAAATGAAAGATTAAAATTAAGGTGACCCAGCGAACTTGCAAGTGAGATGTAATAAAAATATACATTAACGTAAGGGAGTATTGTGCTGACGAGAGACGCCTAACGATACGAAAGGGTATCGCCTCGGTCACGCGTGCTTCTTTAATAAGCCTAATTTCTATGCAGATCTTTTCAGTCGCAAAATTTGACAGTGGTATATTTGATCCTGATTGCGACACAAGTGTCAGTCCTGAGTCGTAAATAGTTACCTACTTTTTGTTATGTAATGTAAATTATTTTTGCCAAGTTGGTTAGTTTCCAAAATACATCTCTTTATGCTATTTTAATAACCACAATTTGCTTCAAATTAGAGCCGCCTGAGTTGAAAATAAGGATTAAAATTTAGCCTTCGGGCGTGGCAGTGAAAATTTTCAACCACTTGATAATTGTAGAAAAGAATAAGATTGATGAGGTGATGCAGCTGCCATCACTCCCAGGGTCTGCCGTACATGTGCTGGGGTCGAGGTGGGGGAGGGGGGAGGTAGCCTCTCTTGGGGGGAGGAAGGCGGCCGTAGAGGGGGGCGTAGACAGACTCGCCGTAATCTGAAGAATCTAACAAAATAATGCATTAAATTCCACTTCATGCTTTCCTGAAAAATCTCATGAATTTAAATAATTAATCAGAATATATTAGACTACTGATCTTTCTTGAAAAAATTAGATTCCTTCGTGATTGCTGCTGATACTTGATAAGATATTCCAAATTTTTCACCAGTGAAATTAATGGAGCTAACGCACATAATTCGAGGAGAATTTGTCTGGATATTAATGTCTGTTTTTCATTCTTTACTAATAGACAAACAAATATGATTTCAAACGAATTCGAACATATGGTCAACAGGAGATGAGCTATTGGCTAACGTCAGCCAGAATTTCGTTTAACATTTAATTTTGCCTCAAAAGATCGCACGATGTACCTGTTGGTATTATTCAGAATTCAATATTCCCATTGCAGTCCAATGCCGGCAGCTAAATGTCGAGCTTCTCAAATTAGCATTTCATCAAAACTTCGCACGATGCAAGTGAATAGCGACAATATATTTGAATAATAAAAGCAACATGCAAAATAAGTTAACATTTAAGGTTTGTAACACAATGTTCTATTACGTGGGTTTTTCATGCGTGGAAATCATGCTTGCAATAAATAAGGTTTTGGTAAGGTTAGAATTAGCGAGTCAATTAAGGGGAAGAAAATTCAATTAGTGGACGGGGAGAAGCCACAAGCAACATCGTTCAACTAATGTTACTATGTTAATATAATGATGAGTGCGAATTATTTACACAGAATAAACGAGTATATGGACGCATCAAACTTAAATAGAAAAACCCTAATCGTATTCTAGAAACATGTCTAAAGTTATCGGACAGGGTCTCCTAAGAATAATCGAAGCATAAAGCCAGGTGTCAAAGTAGCTGTTTAATGCTCTATCCCTGTTGCGTCTAGAGGAATTAATACGCTAACAGAATAACCAGCATGTGTTAATAAATTGAAACTCAATCAGAAAAACCAGCGCGTGTTAGGGGACGGACATTGGAGCAGAGCTAATGCAACGCAATGTCAGATGATTAGCATGCATCAATGATCAAAGCGGAATGGCTTCACGCGGTCTCTTCATTAGAATTTGCTCTAAACAAGCGTTAGCACCAGTCGTGGGCGGTTACGATTAAACTCAACCTTACATGGGCTCTACAGTCGTCTATGTTTCGTCACTAAATATGAAAGGACAGATCGCGTATCGAAGGACCAGCAAGAGTTCAACGCTGCGCCAATAAAATAAATCTGCATCCTGCTTACCAAAAACGTCGAGCTGCTCGCAAGCTTGCTGGGTCACCATGAGTTCTAAGCTTTGTTCTTTGCACTCAAGTGCCCCAGTAGTTTTCCCATTCAGTTTCTATGAGGGAACGGAACAAAAGCAGTCCATCAATAAAGCTGAATCTCCTACAACTCATTTGAATATAACTTTTTATAAGAGAAGCACCCTATGAAGGGTTCATTGTGAATAGTCAATAGGTGAACCCTTATGAAGGGTTCATTAGGAATAGCGCTGTCATTATGACAGCACTTCGTTTGCGTGGATAAAAATTCAACTAATATTTTGAATGCGACATTACTTTGAATGATAAGGTTTAGTTTTTATAGAACGAACACACGCTAAGTTAAGCGTTATTTTGCGCAATTGAATCTGGATCATCTCAATCCTTTGTGACATTTCGAAATTTTCAAAATGAATGACAAAGCTTCAGTTTGAAGTTCATTGATCAGGACATCGCAGGTGAGCGAATGAATGACGCATCTCATAACTGAACACTAATTTAACTAATAACCCAGCGATTTTCCCAACCACATTTATAGTGATGCTGTTAATAATTCAAAGAGTGCAGGCAAGGAAAGAAACCGAACTGACACGTCGATAAGCTGCTCTGCTCCACGATGCAAGATCAAGACAAACAAAATGAGCCCTAAGGAACGAAAGTCTTATAACGGAATTTCCTGAAGTATCGACGCTGGAAAACGAATCAGCGACAACTCCGAAATTTATCCGGATAATCATGTCATGTCGGCAAATTCAAGTTAAGATCGTGATTAATTCATAAACCGAATAGATAATATTTAACGTGCTGTAAAATCTAGATTTGGTAGACACTACGTGTGCAACTATCCAAGATCTAGAACTATGCAGCCAGTGATTGGTGGATGCTTCACACAAACTCTTCTTCACATAGGAAGGAAAAATCAATCAAAGCCGCTCTTACCGTAGTTTTGCTGATGGCTCGGAACCCAAGACATTGGGTTACGGTCTAATTTGTTCATCTTCGGCATGGGCTTCAGGGGCATGAAAGCTAGAAGAGAATAGTTGAAGACCATAAGAAACAAAATCGTCTGCTAACATCGAATGCTTAAACATCTTTCCGCAGTTAAACAATCCTTTAGTTTCATTTGCTAAGACGTCATCTTGTGCTATTGTCGGAGAAGAAAACCCAGTCTTTCATTTTCGTCGAAAAATGGAGCCTGGGATGGTCGATCGTTTTCCGTATGAAATAGTTGAGCGCCAGCTTTGTCGTCTTGGATGGTCGAGTGCTACGTCGTCTGGGATGGTAGAGTGCTACGTCGTCTGGGATGGTAGAGTGCTACGTCGTCCGGGATGGTAGAGTGATACATCGTCTGAGATGATGGTAGAGTGCTACGTCGTCTGGGATGGTAGAGTGCTACGTCGTCTTGGATGGTAGAGTGCTACGTCGTCTTGGATGGTAGAGTGCTACGTCGTCTGGGATGGTAGAGTGCTACGTCGTCTTGGATGGTAGAGTGATACGTCGTCTTGGATGGTAGAGTGCTATAAGTTGCCTGGGATGGTAGAGTGCTACGTCGCCTGGTGATTTTATTACGTAAACTTTTATTTATCTTTGTAGACAAATTTGAGCTTAATTTTGAACAGAGAACTACTAATTGGAAGCATTACTTTCTCCCGCACAAGTAGTTGTTTTTAAATATGTATCTTTTCAGTTATGAATTATTTGGCACACAAGTGCGTGATGCGTAGGCTATGAGGTCTCATTGAACGGATGTCACCGCCCAACAGAACGGTGGCTGATACTGCTAAACTAAGCCAAATATGAGCATTTGACAGTAAATGAGTCACAGAATAGAAATCAATCTGTTCATGCTTTCAGAAGCACGTCCCAACTGAAAGGTTCTGTGTGTTTCGTAAACCAAAAAGAGTATACCGTCACATCCCTAGTCCCTTTGTACCGTTAGAGCGTCTTGTACAAAATCATGCCGCACTTGATACTGATAACATCAATACTGTACATTTAAAACAAATCACATACCAGTTGATAGAAATGAAAACTCATCCCAAACCGCGTACCCCGTCACGAATGCTTGTCTATTTTGCGTCAGTCCCTACCGGCGCATTATCATGTCTTGAGAATTAGATGTGTAAATTAACATTATCATTAAAATTAGATGAGTAACACAACATTATTATTAGTATTCACAACAAATAAACATTCAGTATTTACACTTATCAATCTAGAAATAAAGCGAATAAATCGTTACTCGTAATAAATACATCATGTTTATCCAATCAAAACACGACCTACTATCAATGTGAATTTGAAATCAAGTTTATTTTCTGTAGATCCCTTCCATTATATAGAGGTGACTTTCATGGAGCTCATTAAGAGATTTCATTAATTGGCTATTTGATAATTTTTTAGTTCTATTTTATGTCAAATATTTTGGTGGTATAATTATTTATTTGTCAGCTCCACATTTTTGAGTGCAACGCGTTCGTAGCTAGTAGTTCGTAGCTAGGTTACCGCCAGTAGCTCTTCTTTCGAATCGAAATAGATTTTCACGATGGCAAAATTTAACATTAAAAGCGATGGTAATTAATTCCATGGTCAACTTTGGGGAGCTTGAATTGAGTGAAATAAAGGAAATAATCATTGTAAATCAGTTTTGTATCCTTGACGACCGACTAATTATTACGTTGAGATCCTTAGGAGTCAGATCAAGCGGAAGAGTTTAACTTGTTGCGAACACACCGGGATTGCGACCTGAGGTCGGGTAGATCCTGCATAGCAACATAAGATAACCTATTCTAGGAATGACGGTTCGCTAATAAAAATTTTGGCCTTAAGAACTCACGTTTTCCCATTGCGGACTCGTAGCTGCGCGCGTGGTACAGGCCTGGATGAGGATGTGCAGGCAGGATGGGTGCTTGCTGCTGTTGCTGCTGATGCTGTTGTTGGTAAGCCATATACTGGCCTCGCACCATGTCGGCTCGATCTTTGTCGCTACCTTTGAAGTTTGTGGTGCGAGCGCGCAGACCGCAGTAGTAAGGGTCGTCTGGTTTTAGAGAATAATTCGTTAACAAACCTATCAATAAACACTGGGGTATGAAATATTCAAGTACTACTATTGATTGATAATGTACATTAAAGAATACAAGAGAAGCTTATCACAAGTGCTTTAAAGTTTGGGAAACGAGTTCGAACTGAAAGTAAAAGATAGAATAGCGTATTTAACAAATTTGCAACCAGTATATACTTGGACGATAGTTTTCCAGCGCAAACCTGGAACATGACCGAAATATTTGAGTTAAAATTATGAAATCAAGGCTCAATTGTCGATTTAGTCAAGCCAAAGAAAAGATCTTATGATCCGAAAAGTCTTCCATCGATCCTATAAGCTCTAAGTTAGGACTTTTCAAACGATTCTATAGAGAAAAAAGCAGCTGTTAACACGGAGCAGCTAAATAGAATTAATGCAATCGCAAGCTCTGAACTATATTACCATTTTTAGGAGCAGCATCTTTGCTCCCGTTTTTCCTGGAAGATCGGAAGGGACGAAGAATGCTGTCTTCGATATAAACGTATTCGCCCTGAAGAAAAGGAAAATTTTATTGTTTCTCAAACACTTTCACCTCGATTAATCTCACTAATCTTAGATCACCGAGCAGGTATGAAGAACATGACGCAATGCACGAAACAGTTAACCATGACGTAGCCTGCTCAACAGTCCTTGAACAATAGGCAACTGCCATCTTAGATCTAATAAACCAGGCAGAATTATCAGAAAAGCAGCCACTGGATATTCCAGCTTGCAGTAATTAAAATTCCAAGAATATGTACCTATTACGCACCTTGGAGTTTGATTTACCGCCTTCCCTCGGTGGGAGTTTGGGAGGCTTGCCAGGCTTGCTGCCGTTGCTGCTGCTGGAGCCGGTCACGCTGTAGGGATCCTCTTCAGGCACCGGCAGTCGGGGGCGGTTGCGAATATTGGGCGGTGGGGCGCGAGCTGCAGACACGTTATATGCGTTCACAGAACAAATTGGAGATTATAAGAGAAGTTTGAATTAAAGATAAAGATATACGAAGATTAGGATTTTCAGCATTATATAGCATCACGGATGAGATGTAATGTTAAAATCAGTGACAAAATATACTTAATAACTTGAAACAGTTAACCTCTCAATAATTTACAATAGCACACACGTTGAAAGGGCACAATAAGAGATTAAAAATGTCAACTGAATTGCAACGAAAACGCGTAAGCTAAGTAAAAGAGATACTTGTTCAAAATTGCATTATTTTATCGCAACTATGATGACTTGTTCTGAATGTGTATACGATGCAATGAAAAGTACGTGGCCCAAGTGCTTGTTTAATTAATGTCTTGTCCTACCCAGATGGACGAATTTAGTTATAAAACTCATATCATGAAATTCGACATGTTCTTGAGAATGAGAGAATGTGGCAGCAATTGTAGTTTGTAGCAAGAAAATAGTAATGATTCATTTGTAAGAGATAATCAAATGAAAAAAAAAACACACCATTAGGCAGCTTGCTCTTGAGCATGTCGAGCGCGACGACATTGATGATCATGACCCAGGAGGGACACTGCAGAAGCTGAGGAGCGTTCTTTGAGAAGGCGATAGGAAGGATGCACTGCGCCTCCAGTTTAGAGCGGTTGGGGTAAATCTTGCGCATCTCCTTGTCTATGTTCGCTTCAAACTTGCGGATGTCGAAAGCCTGCGTACAAAATCAACGGTCAAGATTCGGTAAAGTTAACTTTATTACTCAGATTTATTGGCAGACAGAAGGTATTCTATGGTTTTTCTATATGTATAATCCAAAAAGAGAATAGCCACGTAATGTATTACATGAATTTTTCAGACAACTGTACTAATAATTTCGCTTCTACGGATTTTGATGCCAAAACGTATGTTCCACGAAACATATTTTGGATGGCAATGTACACTGACGACAAGTAGGTTTATATTACTAAACAGCAGATCATGCAGACAAAATTTAAATTTAATAATAAGAACTCATTTTTGGAAGGCCATGTAAACATATAAACCTGATAAAAGTAGTATGTACAATTAAAAATAACTTATATTTTTAAGAAATTACACTTATACCGGGAGTAGGAACAGGCATCGGCTTCTACATCATTTGAAAACTATGCACTCGGTACACAATCTTAGCTTGGCCCAATAAACTATTATTCAATTTGACCTGGTACACTCTATGTAATGACAACATGTGGATGGCAAGAGGCATATCACACGTCATCATCAAGATATCACAGATCATAACCAAGCTCGCCTATTGACTTTCTTGATAATAAAATAAGCAACAACTGAAGTTCTCACCTTGATCGGTTTACTGAGCTCCAGCGCCTGGTTAGGAAGGCGCAACACGTCGTTGCTGATGCTGTTCTCGTCGTCGACGGCCTTGACGTACACGTTCGAGTTCGAGATCCGCTTGACGAGAATGTTGCCATCCTCGTCCATGCGAAGCTTGCAGCCCTGAAGCACGAACGACAGTTTGTCGCATCAACGTCGTAAGTGTACAATGGTAGAAAGCGATGCTTGTTTTTTATCTATGCATTTTAAGTTACAGTAAATTTAAAATTATTAGCTTGAATTTGGTTGTTTTTCGGTATGTTCGTCATGATTTCATTTAAATTAAACTGAATTAATATCAAATTCATTTAAATACCATTTTAATTTCGATTTCGGTATAATTTTTAATTATTTTGAGTTCTATTTTTGTGTAATGACGTTTTCATGGTGGAAAATACACTGTTGGGCACTCCGAATTTTCTTATGTATACCTTCATTAGAATCTTGTGAATTGATATTTTAAACGATGACGTTTTGACTCAAGTACGCATGATTTCTGGCTGAGAATCAATACAGCAGCAGTGAACTAAACCTCTGCTTTTTTTAGATTTAAATGCTCAGGAGATATTCACAACTCTAAGGCCCGGTATTCGCAACAGATTTAAAATCAGCAGGGTATCCATTTTCTCTAGCACAGCCCTAAATTTCCAGGCCCAAATAATAATACGACTAATGCAAATTAAAGTAATTTCAAATTAACTCCCAATAGAAAATTGGGTTGGATTAATAGTAATTCATTCTACATAAATCAATATCGTAAATTTTGCATCCTCCTTGGACTTAATAACCACTTCACGTTCATACAACTTCACTTAATCAAAAAAATTGCAAGCCTCGCTCACCAGCCCAATTTGCCGAGAGATGACTTCTTCCGTCTTCGGTTCCCTCATGGGATTCTCGAAGCCAGCCAGTCCCAACCTGACGGGTTTTAAGCCTTCAATATTCATATTATATACATACAGAACCTGGTGTAAAAGCTGTTGAATTCAATAACAGGTCGGCTTTAGTTTGACAATAACATTTTGAACGTGACAAGTAAAAAAAGAAAAAACATGTGTCGGTAAACCCACTTATGATGTACCTTTTCTGTGCATATCAACATAAAAAATGCCAAACCTTACCCATCTCAACCTTCAAAAATTCCAACAAAAGCATTTCCAGCATAGCCAATGTTGCAGTACCCTAAACATCTCTGACTACTAGTTATACAGAAACTCAGTTTACTTGAAACGTTGCACAATTTTTCTACAGGTTCAAACTAAATTTATAATTCCAATCCTCCATCATATCGGTCACGTTAAATCTGAACCTGAAGCTTGAAACCCAATTTATTCTTCACAACCTCCGTTGAACCGTATTAGTCAAGTTAAAAGCTGAACTGAAACCTGAAAGCAAAATTACTCTCCACAACCTCCGTTTTAAATCATCGGTCAAGTTAAAAACGCACCTATTGCTTTAAACAAAATTTATGCTTCAAAAACTCCGATGTAACGTACATCAGTCAAGTTAAAAACGGGTCTGAAGCCTGAAACCAAATATATATACTTCCCAAACTCCTCTGCAAAGTATCCACCTTTTTGGTATCTAACCTGAAGCCATCAAATCCAATGTTGGTGCCGTTGACGGTAAGTACAGGTGATCTGAGGTAGGCCTTGGCCACGCGCCTGTTCTTCTCGAACACGATCACCTTGGACCAGATCTCATCGTCGATCTGCGACCACTTCAGGAACACTTCATGAATGTGCTCCTGTCAGACAAAGTCTAATTACTAACAATATTTTGTATATCACAATCCAAAATCGTTCACAATCATGCTTAAAATGACGAATCTGTCAACCGATAAATATTATGTCAACTTGTAAATATGAAACTGAAATTTAATAGCTGTTCATGAAATAAAATATGATCGACAACAAAATTTTTTTTCGAACAATTCGAGGTTTTAATGTGACTACGGAATGCAGGTTTACGGAGTCGATAGTCATTGAGCCTCGCAAAAAAAAATTCATATGGAGGCCGCGTTCTTTTAAAGGTTGCCAGTCTCTGACAATGCAAGTAGCAGCAGAAGCTAAAAAGTTGCAATTTCGTCGTTCATAGGCAAATCAGAAGAATAAACTGAAGGGCATTACATTATACCACGTTAAAAACTACTCGATATTTGAACGCCAAGGATGAGACAGTAGTTTTGATTGATGTGTTGGTTCTTATTTTTGATCTAACGAAGATATCACACGACAGTTTCCAAGTGCACAAAAGGTAAATATTGAAAGTCTTTTGTTAAAGCTGTTGCTCATTAATTTCGTGCGCGCGAGTCGTTTACTGAGAGTGAATTTTTTTTTGCAGTAAGTCACTGCATATATTATACAGCAGTAAGTATTATATTTGCAGTAAGTAAGGCACTGCAGTATATTATGCACTGCAGTTTTTTGCAGTGCATAATATACTTTACAACATTTATGGCGGTAATTTCAACATGCATTGTTCGACCGACCCTACGTAGGCAGATAATCTAAGGGTGTAGGACGAGCGCACGCAAATCATTCCAATAAATAAGTGAACAATAAGTAAATTGGTAATACTCATAGTATAATGGGAAAAATTGTTATTGAAGCAAGTAATTTGATGGTAGAAATGTGCAACATTTAACTATACAATAATGGCACTTATAGAGTAGTGCGATTTGAACGAAATATAACATCCGTGTAGTGAATTTAAAGTGGAATACAATAATGGACTTGTATATCTGTTGTATGCTGACCTCGAAGCAAGTCTCTGTGGTGTACCAGACGTTCTCCTCGTCCTCGACCTGAGGCTGCTCCAGGTTCAGATCGTCGCGGGATCGGGACAAAATTTTTCTGCGGGAGACCATCTTAGTTTGACCTCTTCTTCCACGTCCAGGCACTCATACAAACAATTGAGTAACTACCGCAGTTGATCAATGGTTTAATTACAGAGAAAAGTGACGGGTTTTGTTTGATTTGAACAAACTTAAACGCCGAGTTCAACCTCGAGGCGGTGTGGCTGGGTGCAAGTTAGGGTGCAACGGGACTGATGGACTTGGAGAACTCTGTAAGAAGGAACAATAATATTATGTTCTTATAGAAGAATAATAACATTTTCTATGCAGAATGTACATGAATATGATTATAGAATTTCACAGCATAAAAAGTTAAAAAATCAGTGCAGAACTAAATAGAAATCGTATTTATTTTAACAGAGGCATACAGTTTCTATTTGATAGTCAATCAGAGATAAAAAAAGTTGAATTAACTTATTGTTAAACAAAACTAGATAATTGTGGATGATATGAAAAAGCAGGCAAGAGTAATATATAAATTCGGTAGGTGTATACATTTTTATTTGGATAAATATTAGGTAGTGAAAACTTCGAATTAATAATGATGGAACACTTATGGCTTGAACGATTGAGAAAATGAATATATTTATTTGCACAGTACAAATTTACGGGACTGTAGAATACATCTATCGGCCAATTCTAAGAATCACCAATCAGCTATTCAATACAATCAAAAATTTATAACAAGAATTAAGCAGGTCTTGCGGCATCAGCTTTAGTGTCTCGGTAGACTTTGAATTCTTCTAATTTTAATTCTTCACTGCTAAGTTCCATTCAACCTTGAATCTTTATATGAAGAATTGGCAGCGCTTCTGTTTCGTTAACTGTCTCTTTACTATAATTTGAGGACAATGAAAGTAAATCGTTCGGGATAATTGATAGAAAGAAAGTCTAGTTTAGCCTAATGTAGGGAACAAATATTTAAAGGTAACCGGATACATATATTCTTTATTCTTTATTCACACAGGAGCATACAAAAAAAATTCATAACAAGAAAATGGCATAGACGATCAGGTCAAGGGTCTTTGCCTGCAAGAACATCATTCTAACAAAAGTTACACGCGTATATAACGTGGTTCTTTCTTCTAACTGGTTGCAACGATTATCATATTCATAGGAAACAAAATTGCTTATCCCTTCGTTAGCTGACGGTAATTCTGGATACCAGGACTCAAGATATGCATGGCTAGCATTGACGAAGGTTAATACATCAATATGTATATCAAGGGTAAATCTTCAGTTTGCAGAAGAAAACTCTAGGTTCCCTGGAATTCAGGTACGAACAATGACGATGCGAGATGCATCACTAGGCAAACTATTGGTATTGGATTAACTCGATCGCACAAAGAATCGTAATTAAGACACTAGAGTCGTGCAGGTTTCATTTGGTGTTTCAACACGCTTTTTGAGCCACCTCCAGCTGAGACACGTTGCCAACACCCAACCCCACCATCGATCTTTGGTTTAAGACTCATTACGCACATCTCGAGTTACATTAGACGAAGTAAAAATGCGGGTTGATTAGAGCGAGTAACAGCAGAAAAAAAAGTTCGTCATCATTGCATCTGTTATGGCTGTCGATGCTTCAAATACTTTTATCAGCACTTGACACATATCCACTATTTTTCAACAGGATCCCGAGCACCAGAGCAGTTTAGGAAAACGAGTACCTAATTGCATTTTGAGTATGCAGTTTAGTCTTGAAGCATCACCAGATTGCCGTGGTCCACCGCTGAGCGACGCTAAATTCTTATGAATTTTTCGCTAACAACCAGCGAAAAAACGTTGAAAGCAACACAACGTTCACGCAAGAGACGCTTGTGCGAGTTGTGACTTCACGCGTATTAGAAGCAAGTGACGTGCGTGAGTATACGAGATAGTAGCCGTTACGCTCGTAACGAGCGTGACATTACATGCATCGACGTGACATGCGCCACCCGGTGAGGCGATAGTGACAGCTTCCAACTGATCGAAGAATTACGTTTCTCCTACCATCAAAAGTGAATGTAAACCAACTCAGCACCGAGGCTGAATCTTGATAAGCTGCGTAAATTATAAATTTGCGGTAACAATTAGTCGATGTGTATTCAGCACTTCAAATATTTCCAACTTTAACATTGGTGTAGAAAACTTCACCCACAAAAAAATTTGATCATTAGATGGTGTTACATTGAACAATATATCGCTCCGTTTTTGTAATCAAAGTATTTAATTGGCGCGACGTATAAATTCATGCTTTACGTTACGACAAACATGGTTATTCGGTAACTAGCAGCTTGACCCGGCGTTACTAGGTGACAGAAAATTTTCAAGGTTTCAGCATCTCCATAAACTCGTTGCCTTAATAACGTTGCTAATTTTCAAACTAAAGCAGTGTTAATTTAAGAAAAAAAACATACAAACTAGTTTTGGAAGTGAGGAAACTTAAATTTCCAATTATAAATAGAATTTAGTCACAGAATGAATGAATATGAATGAAGCTATAAGTTTCAATTAACTTTCCGGCTTTAGTTTTAAATCACACCCAATTTCAATCACCCATCAAACACAATGACATGACTGGTGTTGTGGACACGCGCCCAAAAAGCCCCAATATTTACATGCAACGACAGGCTTCAAACAAATGCATGAACGTTCATAAATAAATCATAGATAATAGATACTGCTGTGAATAACCAGAGCTCTGTGTCCAATTTGCAGGCTTCCATGAAATTTAAATAATCGATCTGATGAGCAATAAGAAGAAGATGAATTATTTGAAAATTTAAACAGAAGATTAAAATCCGAGATTAAATTGGCTTGCCGTCGTTAACTTGAAGAAAACCATCAGCAGGTGGGGCAGTCGAAACACTACAAAAGATTCATCAGCAGCGACAATAGCAGCAGTTAGCTGTGGCAAACGAAAGTGAAAAGAGTTAAGCGCACTTTCTCTGGCGAGAGTTATAGGCTCTACTCCCACAGACGGCTGGATATTCGTGCTGTCCAGCTCTGCACGCTAGTGCCATCCAGCTCTGCACGCTAGTGCCATCCAGCTCTGCACGCTAGTGCCGTCCAGCTCTGCACGCTAGTGCCGTCCAGCTCTGCACGCTAGTGCCGTCCAGCTCTGCACGCTAGTGCCATTCAGCTCTGCACGCTAGTGCTGTACAGCTCTGCACGCTAGTGCTGTACAGCTCTGCACGCTAGTGCTGTACAGCTCTGCACGCTAGTGCTGTACAGCTCTGCACGCTAGCCGGCTAGCGTTATCCAGCTCTGCACGCTAGTGTCGTACAGCTCTGCACGCTAGTGTCGTACAGCTCTGCACGCTAGTGTCGTACAGCTCTGCACGCTAGTGTCGTACAGCTCTGCACGCTAGAGTCGTCCAGCTTTGCACATCTACTGTAGATGGCACTTCGATAGCGCAGTCCAACTCTACGCGCTAATGCCACCCCGCTATACATTCATTACATTTTATTAAACGTTTAAACATCCAGCAAATATAGTTTGGAAGGAAACATAATATCGATGGTATCATTCCTCTTTGAGATAATGCAGCATAAAATGCAAATGCACAGAATGCAAGATAAGATACCTAGGTGGTATCCATTAATAAATTGCGGGATCCGGAAGCAGAAGTGGCAGCGGAAACAGATCATCGTTTCGAGCAGCGGTGGGCGCAGGGCGCAAGAACTGCAATTGAGGCTGCCGAGCGCTGGCCGGAAGACTAGTGATCCAGGATGGAAAAAACGTGCGCTCAATGCCACCCCGCGCCGCGCCGCACTCAATTGCAGCTCCCTGCAAGCGAACGGCGGGAAAAATATTGTTTCGTGCATTTCGAGTTAGAGTGTTATGATACTAGCAAAAATTCTGTCGAGGCATTTGGCCGGGGAAGGAATGGAATGAATAATAAAAACGAATTGTAGTTAAAATTTTTGGGAATTCATCACTAAATTTGAATAATTCATCTGATGAAAGAAAATATAGGTAGGAGAATTTTTTTTTAACATTTCGACTACGTTGTTCTGGCTTCAACTTCGGCCACAATATAATTCTCAAGATGCCTGTTTATGAGTTAAAAAATGGAGCAGGGCCCTATCATGAATCAATGGTGGAAAATGTGAAAACAATTTCACGACAGGGCGGAGGGAAAAGTTTTGGCGGGTGTTAGGAATGCACAAGGCGAGACCCGGTGACCGTAGCAGTGAGCGTGACACTTAATTAGCGTCATCTGCCGAAGTTTTATTTTATACCCGAAGTCGCTATAAATTTTAAACACTGTTTAATTGAATATATAGGTCACGATTTTTCACTCCACTCTGCTTTTGTCACAGACTTCGGGAAAATGCGCAAACACTCATGTACACTACATGAGTGTACTTCGGGAAAATGCGCAAACACCTTTTCTAACCATGATTTCAAAATTTAATTGGATTTAATTGTACGACATAGCCCGACAAAACATTTAATTTAAAACGCCAGCAATTCATCTAACAAGGGTCAAGATGCAGTGATCTAACAGTGCGCACTGCGCCGAGTTTATTTATTGTTCGTGCGTTATTCAATTCTCAAAAGATTCTCTCTTTTCACATCATTCTCCCAACGACAACTTAATAGTAAAAAAAGTTCCACATGCTCTTCAATCACAAATTTCTTTGCTAGACAAGCTCAGCCTAGTCGATAAAGTCGTTAAAACCTCTTGGCTAGGCTCTGAAGTCTGAACGGTTGGAATCAACTCGATCAAGGCAGTTGAGCTCGATCGACAACCACGGCAAGCAAGTTATACCAGACCAAAGCAAGTTACTTGGTACGCAATGCGTACCTAGGATCGCGGATTACAACGAATTCACGTAAACGTCAAATGCGATTATTCAGGACAATAACTCCAATACATGCAGTTGAAAACACTTATAATTGTCGCAAACTTCAACAGGCAGGCAAACGTTGGGTATCATAATAATTCAAAAATAATTTGTAGTAATTCATATTTTCATTTGAAATTATTTCATTAAATTTTGAAAACTCGGCCTAAGAATCTTTTATATATTTAGAACGAACTGAAGTAGCAAGATATTTGGTCTTAATCTTTTTATATTAAAAATAACCTGGATAACGGTTCGAGGATGCCACAATCTTTCTAAGGTGCTCTTCGTGAATGAAAGTAATATTCAGACCGTGGAGAGTTAGTTAAGTTGTTCACCTCATCTTCGTTCGGTGAAACTGTAGTGGATCTCATT